CAATGTGTACGCTTTATCAATTTTTTCTGCAAGCGTTACCATGGTGGGATGCGTTGGGAACGCGTAAGGGATTTTAATCAGTATGCCGCATTCTGGAGGAGCTCACACTTCGGGCAGAAAAGGCCGATAAGACGGCGGAGTTTAGCTTTTCTGCCTGAGTGGCTATAAGAGCTTTCACTTGTCATCAACTATGACAACTCTTCAGTCGCAGTATACGTGGTCTTATCTTCTTGAAAAAACATAGTTGAGTTAGACATTAGCTAATTAGGACCATGAAAATCCTCGGCGCGAACGATCGTATTTTTCACAAAAAAATGAGGGTGATTTTTCCTAGTACGTTTGCACAATCAATTCTTAAGCATTTCTCCGTCGTAAAACGTAATAAGTTCGTAGATTTCTTAATGAGACATGCAAAAAATGAAATATCGTTGCAAAATGGTGCTAATTTGAAGTATCTCTTGGGTCAGTATGGAATTGTGATAATCCTTGTTGAGAATGATATCCATTTAGGTACACCGTCAATAGAAAAACATGCGTCATTAAAAGCCGTTCTTTATTGAGTGGGTAAGTGATAATAAAAACAGACAATGACAAAGTGAATAAAACCGAACTTTTCGTTCCAGTGGCTATAACCCGTGCTCATTGGCCCATAAAGAGATACTTTCCAGGTTTTTCTCATCTAAGACCAAAGAGCTTGTGGGACTCAGAGAGCGGCGATTCGAGTTCAGAGTATTTCATTTTTGGAAAGGTTGAAATTGAAGGAATTGTCTGGGCGGTGTGTTGACATTATCGGTGCTTTTAAGAAATGAATGAGATTTTATGATGAAAACCTGTATAAGAGGGCATCGCGATTGCTTAAGGAGCTTAAAGAAACTATCAGGATTTTTGAACTGAACATTTTTTGATGGATAGGCACTGAAAACAGCCAACAGAAACTTTAGTCTAATTCATCTAAACTAAAATAACTTTATCTATCTAAACGTTCTTAGTAATACTCACGTTGTAAGTAGTAACTTTAATATTTCATTTTAGTGATACGAGATTGTATTGTAATGAATAAATATAGTGGCAATGATTTAACAGCAGGAATTTTCATCTTATGCTCAAATAGGTATATGCATGTAGCCAAGAATCTGCTCGAATCGCGACAACTATTTAGAAAAACGGAGTAGAATTCATGAATATTTCCAATGTCAGGAATTCCGCCATTGTTATTCGTATTGTTCACCTTCCAAAATCACAAATTAAGCAGAATTGTTCATATGCTGTACCGTTAATAAATGTCTACTTTCGTTTTTTCGTCTTCTTTAATTTATCCTTGTTTATTTATATATAATATAGTCCAAAACGGACGCAGGAAAGTAAACGCATATTAAAACAAGAAAGATTGATATTCAAATCAAGTTGGGTACTTTATTTTGAAGGTTCATTTATACCATTTATGTATGAAAAATAATATCGCTCAAATGTTCACCACGACTGGATTTACAGACGTCCACGCGATGGTCGAAATTTTCAATGACATTTTGCAACATGGTCGGTTCTATGGCATTTATCTCGGCAATGATGTTGTTTTTGTGTTCTTGGAGGGTGGCTGGTTTGTTGACGTAGACTTTGCTTTTCAAATATCCCCATAAAAAGAAGTCCAAGGGAGTCAAATCGCACGACCTTGGTGGCCATGGCACATTTCCTCTGCGCGAAATCACGCGATCACCGAAGAAGGACTGCAATCGATGGATATCGACGTTAGTTGTGTGACATGTTGCACCGTCTTGTTGGAAATAAACATCGTCCATATCCATTCGTTCAAGTTGCGGCAAAAAATAGTCCTCTATCGTCACGAGATATCGCTCAGAATTGACGGTAACGGCGTCCCCGGCCGCATTTTCGAAAAAGTAAGGTCCGATGATGCCTTTTGACCACAATGCACACCACACAGTCACTTTTTGAGGATGCATCGGCTGCTCTTGATACTCACGGAGATTTTCGTTCGCCCAGATGCGGCAGTTTTGCTTGTTTACCGTCCCATTCAAAGTGCAATGCGCTTCGTCGCTGAACATGATTTTTGATGAAAAATTGGCATCAATTTGGCGGTGTTCAAGGAGCCAATCTAAGAACGTTCGGCGGGAAAAATGGTCGGCCCGACGCAGCTCTTGCGTCAATTGGATCTTGTAGGCGTGTACATTCAAATCCTTGTGGAGAATGCGGAGCAAACTGGTTCTCGAAATGCCCAATTCTTGGGATCGACGCGTTGTTGATTGTTTCGGATCGTCTCTCCTTCACTTTCCGGTGTGCGAACGCTCCTTGGCCGGCCAGAGCCTGGCAGATTTGCCACAGAACCTGTTGCCTCGAATTTACGCACCAGACGACCGATGGTTGTTTCGTTTGGGCGGTTGTTGCGACCGAAATGTTCACGAAGCGCGCGAAACGTGTTTTTTATTTTTGTACCATTTTTGTAGTGCTCTTGAATAACTTGCGGTCTTCAATCGAATACGACTCCATAGCGATCAATGGTAAACATTCAACTAACAAAATGACATGTCGGTGACAGAAAACAAAGATGGCGTCTATGTCAAATTGACGTTTACTTTCCCGCGTCCCTATTGGACAACCCATTATTTTTGACTTGCTCTACGTTAGTACAACCCAGTACGAATAGCTACTTGAATATTCTTTCCCGAAAAAGGACTGTAAGCCCATTGACTGGTTTGTCACTTAGTTAGGCAAATTAGCCAAAGGTATGCATTGAAACTACACCATTTTGACGACAAACAATGCAGAGTAAACTTATACACCTGGTTGTTTCTGTACACTGCTATCGAAAAGGAAGAGATCAGCGAGTGCGGTGTGTTCCGCTGATCTCTTACTTTTCGGTATCCGAGTATAATCTGTTCGAATTCGTTGAACCAAACATAGACTGATTTGTTATTATGTACCTATTGTCCGCCATCTATATAGTTTCTGAGACGTTAGTGGAATTGAATTATATCCACGCTATACCACGATCCATCTCAAGCGACGGGCATTATTTGTTTTAATGTGAACGGTTTCTTTTTTCTCTTGCGGTTTTTGCTATGCATCAACTGTAATTAGGTCTATACAAATGCCGTGACGTCTAACTCGAACGATGTTAACGTGTTTTAGGTGACGTGACATGAGGCTGTATAAAATGGCGGAAATGCGGTAGCAAATGGATCAAAAATAAATTCATCGTGTACCAAAAACTGGCTACCTATTAGTCCGACTCCAATAGAAATTAAAAGGAAAATACAGGAACTTACACGAACCTATCAATGGGGGGGAGGATGTAATGAATCATTCTTGAAAATTGATGTGAACACACTATTTCAGCTGGTGAAAATGCAATTTTGTTTAAGTAGAGAATACCCAATTAATCAAGCTGCATCTTTTAACTTACTGATATAAGGTACTGTATGTTCCAGAAGTTTCTGTTCATCCTGTGGTGCATTTACAGAAATTCAGCAGGCATATGTGTGTGACTAGTTAAAAATAAATCAAACATTCATTATAGTCATTCTCAGTGACGAAGAAAATAGAACTACTATCAATAAAAATGATTTTATTTAAGTATTACAGTTAGACATTAGCAAGAGAAGTGCGCTGAGTCTATTTTTCATAGTTTTGGGACAGTGCGGGGCGAACAACGAGGCTAAATAGAAAAATTGAGTTTTATTTTCCTTGGAAAACGCTTCTTCTCAAGTACTGACCTACAATATTTGCGCATGATACTGTGACTGAAAGACTACTAGTCAACGCAATCCTGTGAGAAAATTTGTGCATAAGCTGAACTCTGTTGTAAGAGTATTTATTCAATTGAAATTATTTTATAAAAAGTTATTTGCTACCTGAATGTTACGAGTACATGTGGAGGAAAGAGATTCGCTCTGGTTTGACATCAACGTGCTTGATACTTTATAATCTCAGTGATAAAAAAAATGTTATCACAAATCTTACAAATTACTTTAAGGCATCTGGATTCATAAGATTGAATCTACTCCCCGCTAATGACCTATGGGTCGAAGCGGATTGTTAAATAAAAAAATTTTTTCCCAGTGAGTATCTATCTAAAACACAATTCATCCATGGATCAACCAGAGTATTTTACGAGATTTGTGCCGTCGGTAAATAAATTTTACTTATTTAAAATATGTTTTCTTGGCATCTATGTAACATAACAGCGCAATACTTCTGAGATAAGCCGTTTCTAACTCCCTTAAAAAAAACACCCACAACTTTCAAAAAATTTGGTATTTTAAGTCAAGTATAAAAAACACAATTGTTATATTAGTTAATTTACAACCTTCTGAGCATTGAAAATTAAAAAATGTGAGAAAAAATATTGTATCAAAAATAATTTTACAAATTACAAGTATGCCTATTTGGAAAATTCCATTTGAAGTTTGTTCGTTTGACTTGACCGTAGTTAAAGATTCACATTTGAAACCGCAAAATAATTGAAAATTGTTCGTAATTGATTGAACAAAATCGGGAAATAATTTTTGATAAATTTAGTAAAATACTTATGCCTGGTATGCTTCAAAGCTATCTAAACCTCGAGAAATATCAATATTCATGAATTTGAACGACGTTTGCTTTCAAGAGGAAATTCAAAAAATCCCTCCACTTGTAAAAAAGCTCCATTTATTTGTTGTGCAAATCGTTATAAAAATTGGTGCTTCACTAATTTTTATGATAATTGTTATTCAGATTCATGTATTTCTGAAGTAAAATGGTTTGCATTTGATAATATTTCTTTTTAAAAAACAAAATATGATATTTAACTATGAAGAAACTTTGTATTTTGCGTTTTGTATATTATTTATCAAAAAATGTGTAATTCACTGATTGACGGTTCATCAATGCCAATACATCGGAAAAAAGCGTCACAATAAATTAATAATATAAGAAATTCTTTCTTCTATAAAAAAAGTATGATATTTTCTGTCGACAATAGGTGACAGGTGCGGGTGTGAGTACTCCCGCATTAGTACGTATTACACCCAAAAACTCACCGTGATTTGGGTACCCCACACCTTTGTGAGTATATTTCAGTTGAAGCTGTTTCCCGGAACTCTTAATCCTTCAACATTTCGGGAAAAGCTGGCCTCATATCATTTTGCAACAATGAATCCTCCAACATTGTTTCTGAAAACTATATCGGATATGCGATTCGGAAATACCATATTTCTATAAAATACACCAAATAGGAAGGATTAACTTACCGATGTTGTTTGAGTGCATTGCGCCAGAAACAAGATCTCTGGTATCGATGACAGAGCGAGATGTTTGTTTAAACGAGAGTAACCTTCGCTTTTCTGCTGCAAGCATTTCCTATTTGCCATTTTATTATACAATGTTGGCCTTCGTTGAAATCTGATAGCAACCTTGTTATGTTGAAATAGATGCACGTATTTTGTCCTATTATAGAACTGATCCGAAATAAAGCTATCAGAATATCAGGCTACCCTGGCCATACTGACAAGGAAGTATTTTAATCGCGAGAAATTTCTAAAATAAGATAATTATGTTTTGTCATGTCAATGTCACTCATTTCTGTCGGTCTGTCTTACTGGTTACCTTATTTTCATCATTTGCATATTTTTTAGATGGTTTATTTCCACAAGTTGTTGATCTGCTTAACATTTTTATGGTGGCCATTCAATCCCAAATACACTATATTCACCCATTAGACCAAATTTTCCACCAAGGACGGGCTCCATTTTCCTAGCTCGGTAAAAATTAAATGAGAGAACATTTTGTACAAGAATTAAAGTATTCATATACGGGGTCTTCAAAAGCTGAATCAATATCTATTAGATGAGAAATTTCTAGGATTAGTTGAAACCTATGTTAGATCTAAACTTAATTTTCTTAAAAGCATAATATTTTTAACGGGTGTTTCAAATTAGAACCTCGAAAACGGTAAAGCGAATGTCACACGATCATCATTTACTGTGGATTTCTACGTAACATTATGCACGGTTACCCAGTAGGGAGCGGTATATTCCAAGCAGGAAGCATTTAGTCTACAATATTAGTAAATAACATTTTTGATTATGTTTTATAGTAATGGCGATATTGTCCAATTACATATAAAAACTCACCCTGTCTAACTTGTCGCTGTAGTTACGTCGCTAGATAGCTTGAGAATTTTGGAAGATTTACAAACGCTTTAACTTTTCGGTACTTTTTCATATTTATCGGATTTTGCCGGATTTGAGAATTTTTGAATCCATCAAATAAACTCCAGACTACGTCTTAAAATATACCAACAATATTTGACTTCTTACTGAATCTTGTCTCCTCTAAGACATTTTTTAATTGCTTTCTAAAGAAACGAAAAAAAGATAAGTTTTAGGGACTGTTGGTAATAAGTCAGCCTTTGGGCAGGCCTTTCAAAATTTCTTCAAAATCCAGTGATACTTTTTAAGTTATAGAGGGGACCAATGATTAAATTAGTTTTTACAAAAACTATACATATTTTTCTGTCTGTAATAGAATGCCAAGGATTACCTGACAAACGCAGCAAAAAACGTACTATGATATATCTGAAAATGTTACTTCCACTTGAAGTCTTTCCGTTATTACAGTATTTTGAGAAATATGTACGCCCAAAGAACAGGTTTATAAAATTATTTCCAGTATAGCAAACGTTTGTCACATACAGTAATGGACAAAAGTATATAGGCAAACCAATATTGTACTGTATTTCTTTTTTAACTTGTTTTATTAATACACCAACCTGTATACATAATTCGTTATAGCATCATACTCACTTATACATAAATAAATTCATTAGACTCCCTTGAATAAAAAATTAATTGAAAAAACTGGAACTATGAAGGACAAAAATATATATACAAAGCAAAACAATTATAGAAAAAAGAAGCAAAGTTCATTGAATTATAGAAAACCAACCGTGTTTGTGTAAATTTTTGGTAGCATAACCATTATTATCAATCACCACCTGGCATCGTCTCGGCACAGATTGTAGAAGTTTCTTGATATAAGATTCATCAACCTGTCTCCACTTTTGCTCTAAAGCGGCAAAAAGTTCATCATTGTTTGAATAATTTTTATCTCGTATTTGCTTATCAAAGTATTCCCATAGATTTTCAATGGTGTTTACAGGTATATCGGGAGACTGTGAAGGCCATTTGAGAATTGGTGTTTTTTCATCCAGAAAGAGTTTCTTTACGAGATTTAAAGTGTGCTTCGGGTCATTATCTTGCTGGAAGATTGATCTTAAGGGCATATTGTCTTCCATATAGGGTAACATGACATGCTTTAGTATGTCAGTGTATACAAACTTATCCATAATGCCATCTATTCTATGTAAAGGTCCCATCCCAAACCCCGAAAAGGACCCCCAAACCATAACAGACTCGCCTCCATGTTTGACAGTGGGCAAAGTGTACTTGGAGTTCAATCTTTGTCCACTAGGACGACTAACGTAATGAACACCATCTGATCCAAACATATTGAATTTGGATTCCTTTTGTCTCGATTTCGGCTTTTATTTGGGTTTTAAACGGATCTTTGAACGAAATTACTTTTATTAATCTAACTGATCTAGACCGACCACTTCTCTTAGAGGCTTCCAAGATACCTTTTTGTTTATATTTGTTCAATATTGCCCAAACTACTTTACGCTTCAGCTTCAAATTTTTGGCAATGTTGACTTGGCGTTCATCTTTGTATAACTCAATGATCTTAGTTTTCACATCGAAAGAAATTTCTGGACTACGCGGCATGGTCTTAAAATCACTCCATTTATTGCACAGTACTTGATGAACACAAACTAATCCTCTTCTGACACGAAACTGTACTAATGTTGAAAAGAATTTGTCTACATATTTTTGTCCCTCATAAAAAAGTGCTTATATTCAGACTTGTATTGTGTTCATTGCAGATAATGTAAAAACAAAGAATTTAGTTTTTCTTCTAATGACGCATTTGTTTATGGAGCAATGAAGTATGAATTCGTTTTCTAGAGGTATTTAGGTAAACATTCATATTTGTCTATATACCTTTGTCCATTACTGTATAACTCAAGTGTTGCTTCCAAGTATTGCAAACGACTAAATTATTACTAAAAAAAGCATCTCGCGCAATATTTGCTTGAATGTATCAAACAGTATTCATAGTAATTTCATATCCATATCAATAGCCATATCGTCGCGGAAGACTCTCTATATATGGAGAAAACAATGAAATGCAAATAGAAAGAAAAATGTGAGGCGTAGTTAAGTATATATTATTTGTGAAACTTTCACCGAACACATTTTTGAATGTGTCCCCCTTCCGTTTTGAGCTGGGTGCGCCCTTGTTTTCCACGTAAATTTCTTGCACTTTGGTTTAAAGAAGTTTCCATACTATTGAATTTCGTTTAAGCATATGGCATCCATTTCGGACATTGCAAACATATAACTAATTTTCCGATACGTCAAAATGATATTTTAGCATCTTGATCATCTTGATCGCCAACTCAAATTTCCAACACAAGAACGACCACACTGTATACATAGCTATTGAGATATTTCCACTACAGATAGATCAACCCAAATACCTTGCTTACTTTAAAGTGGGTGGTTTAAGAACCGACGCTCTGGATGCAATGCAAGGATAATAAGGATGGTTTTTCTGGGTCACAGAATTCGTTACGTCGATTTATATTTTTGAACGTTCCGGGATTATCAGAAACTTCTCGACGACGCTACATTTTTAGCGAATCCTTTTGCAAACAAAATCGTATCCGTGCAAATCTGGGTAATCCACGGAACATCTGCATTCATCCGGATAGTCTGTGTGCCAACCTCTTATTCTGTTCTGTGAAACAAATTACAGCCGTTGCAGACAGTGGCGTACCTTCAACCAAGACATGAATGACAAACTTTGAATAAACGTAAGTTAGATCATTTATTATTTATCGTATCTGGAGTTGGCCAAACTAATGCTATATTCGCACGTCCTAAGGATTATCTGAGATTAAATGAAATATCGGAGACGATAAGAGATACTAAGCCGCTTAAATGAGGGCAAAGTTGCGTATTTATGTAACTAACAAAATGCCGCTTAAGTTTCGAAATTCAAAAGACTTTCGGAGAGAGGCACAAGAAACCGGATTTTCCCAAAATTGTTTAAATTTTTTCCTGACCTTATTTGTAGTGGGATTTTAAAATTAATGGCATATCAACATTGCCACTTTATATAATTAGAATGTCAATTGACGTTTGATCTCTTGTCCTCGTGCATCAACTTTATTTTTTCTTGTGGACGCAATGTTTGATTTTTGCGCAAATGAATGGAGCATTTGCTTCTGATTCCAAAAATGTATAATAAGTATTACCTTGACATTGCCAAACCCCGTACTTCCAGAAGAACAGAATTTCCTAGGTAGGCCGTGAAATTATCAGATAGTAATTTGTTTCGTATACCAGACCAGACGTCAAATTGAACATAGTAACATAGACTGGAGTGAACAATGTACAAAGAAGAGTCAGGCTCTGCCTACAAAATAACGGACAACATTTACCTCTGCTTATTTATGATTGTTATTACCATCAGGGTTGTTATGTTTTAATCACAATGTTTTAAACACTGGTTAAAAGAATGAAGGTGCTTTAAACCAATTTGTTGTTTTAAACACTGTTTTTTTGTCGTCTGTGAATTAGATAAGTTTTTTCTTATATTTTTTTAAGTATGATCAAAATTGATTTTATTTTGCAAAACGAAATTAAAAGGGTCATTGGTTAAAACACATAGGTACTAAAAAAATATATTTTATTTTTTATTAAATAATCAAACATGAAACTAGGGAACTGATACTAGTGGAAAAAAATCTATTTCTTAACGAACTAGTGAACTTAATAAATTGCATTGAACTCTAATACTAGTACACTACAAGCAGCAGAATAATCATATAATATTGACTATGTATTTACTTGTATAATAACATTAAATAAGTTACTTAACAAATTTCTATAAAAGTATACAACCCATCTTATTTAACAAGAAATCAAACAATCCTTAAATCCATAACATAAAATCATGGAAAATGTACATAGAATAAATTTTTAGTTTTCACTACTTTTTACTGAACTCCAAGTAAAAAAAATGTATCTTTTTCTCAATTCTCCAAGCTGTTTAACTTTGAGGAAATAGGTGCGGTAGAAACATCATCATTGTCGGTATCAGAACTATCTGATATATGAATATTTTGTTTTTCTGACAAACTTCCTTGTTTAAGTTGTTTACAAATTTTAATATGCTTGCGCATGCTAGCCACCAGTGGCACTACATCCATATTGCAGGTTAAACATTTTGCTCTTTTATTTTCGAGCCAGCTATGGCATCAGTCTCCTTAAAATTTTTCCACACGGGATCCTTTC